CAACTGGAATGCACCAATACGATAAATTCGCGCAAAGTTCAGGACCGTCATATTAATTGCCTTAATCGCCCTGGCGGATTAACAAGAGTGTGCAGCCAAAAGTGCATCTGCGACCAGGACGGCGGTGTCTTTGTCGAGTCCCTCGGAACTTGTCTCTCACACTCGTCTCTTTTTTCCCAACAAGATATATCCTTCGTGTCAGACGAAGTCGTGATGGGAATGTTTGAGTGAACAAAAAGTAATCTTGTCGTACCGTAAAATGATATGAGAGAGGAAGTAAGAGAGATTGATCTTAATTTTATTCCTTGGTAACATCCAGTATATTACAACATATAATATAAACATGATATAACATGAACCGCAATATAACACATCTTCTATCAAATGATATAATATTAACAAGAATGTTATTCGCAAACAATTATACATATATAATTCCGTTTGATTGTAAGTTTAATTATTAATTGATTATTAATTTTTAAATTTTTAATATTCTATTATATAATTGTAATATATGTACATAATTAATTAATTAATTATATAATATATATATAATTAACTAACTATATATATTATATATATTATATATTTTGCTTCAAAATTCATAAATATATTTTTACAATCATAAAAGATTATCTCTTTGCCATCAATAAAGTTCAACATTTTATGCCGCTCGCGAAGAAGTAATAAAAACGAGTCTGAGAGTTTTCCAAGATGGAGGAACATGAAAGAAAACAATACCAAAGTTTCGGTGGCCTGTCCGTCATCTCCATCGAACTTTGATGTAACCGGAGCTATAGCCGGCGTTACAGGATGCAGCATGATGCACACAGATCGCTTTCTGCTTTTATCGGGAAATTTAATGATGCTCGCTCTCTCTCCTACTCTTTCGGACACAAGCACTAGTTTAGAATCGACCGATCGATCCATCAGGTCACTCGGATAAGCAAACACTCGCAACTCGTTCGGCGTGATCCTTCGCTAGCAAAGACTCGCGGATAACGAAGTTCGGTCGTAATGAAGGTTTTACGAGGCACCCGATAAATCTCTTCGAGAGCCTCGACGCGACCTTATAGATATTACTTCACGAAGTTTGCGGAAATCGCGACGATAAAGCGATCATCTTCGGTCCTTCATTATGACGCTGCGAAGCAGAGCGCGTAGGATTTTTCGTTTAATACACGCCGTAGGATCCAAAAGTCGGGAATGAGTTTTACGAATCAAAAGTGACGAGGGTCGATCAGCGGGTAATAAAACACGGTTATGAAAATCTCTCGTTGCCGCCGAGTAATTTTGCGACGAAAACTTTTCTCGTCGCTCGAGTCCTTTCTCAGAGAAATGTATGGAGATAATATATAAAGCTTTACAATATATAAGTAAGTTATATGATGCGATATCTCTCATATTATATATATAAAAAAAAAAAGAATTAATTTTTATACGAGCAACAAAATTCCTTAATTCTATCGCAATTTATAATACAAGATTTTCATGAGCTAACATCGCCATTCAAAATTCTTGACGAGCGATTCATAGGCAATTCGCGAGATTTATAATCCCTCATCATTCTCCCGCGAGCGATGGATTTTGGTCGCTTTCTCGAAGAGAATCGCAGGAATTCAGCATAATACGAATAACCTACGAGGAATCACCGACCCTCTTCTGATTCCTTGTAAAACGTCGAATGAAACGCCGCCGAGAAACGGCAGTTTCACGAATATTAACGGCCGCTCCCATCTGGGAAGGATGTGCTAGTAAAAAAGCATTAAGGGGAGTTATTATCGGACTTCTCCGTATTCTCCGAACACCCCCGTTTACACCCGTTTTCCGAGGGATCGAAAAGAACGAAACGAGATACGAGATAGCAAGCGCGAAGGGAGATCCTCGGCATCCCCCATCCTCTTTTCGCGTATTCGCGCCCTAAGGATATATGAGATCGTTAAAAGGTAGAGAGAGAGAGAGAGAGAAAATCGGGGACGACGCACCTTTTCGTCTCACCCACTTTCCTTTCCACGTCGCTTATTTTTCACCCAGAGATATGTTGTCGTTATCAATACCGTCGAGACTACCTTCTCATGTCTCTTGCAATCGACTCTTATCTCGTTCTCGTGTTGCTCTCTATCTCTCTCACCTTCTATCGCGCGCGGCGTAACTTCGCAGTCTATTTAATTTAAATAACTTTTAAAAGTTCCCGGCCTTTCTCTCGCCATGAACGGCAGATATCAGATCTCCGCTTTCAGCCTCTTTTTACACTTTTTCTTCCTCACCGCCATATTTTTTTTCTTTCTTTCTACTCTTTCTCTCCTAGTTATCCTGCTTCCAAGGACACTTTACAATTGATCGCAAAAGCCGGTCGCTTCTTTTTTTTCTTCGCGAGTTTCCTTTCCCGCGAATTAACTACCTTTTCCCTTCATCTCTTTTCCTATGAGCTTTTTTCCTCAGTCGGCAATAAAGTCCTTATTCACTAATTAAATTTTGAAATAATTTTGAAACTATAACGATTTCATTTCTCATGTCCACGTTGCATCAGCGATGCGATCCATAATGACTGTAACGATACTGTTGCGAACGCGGAAGAACGATATCGATCCCCCTGGTCTCTAAACGGGCTTGACGAAAAGGTTCATCGGCCAAACGATGCGAAATGTTCAAAGTGCATCCGGGGAAAATTGCATTCCTCCGAGTTCCTTTCCTGACCCATTCGGAAATCCAGCGCACGCTCGGCTGCGTTCGCTTTTCCCGCGAATGATCGAAATATGCTTCACGAAATGGCTCCAGAATTCGACGTTTTCATTCGAGACGCGATTCCGTTTTCTCGAATATAAAAATGGAGCAAAGTTGCTTATGCGCAGGCGAAAAAGGTATTTAATAATAGTTAAGTGAAGTTATAATAGTTAAATGAAGCGAGAAAAGAGCTTTAGTATGAAACTTTTTAATAAGTGGCGCGATACAATAAACCTTCAATTATATAATGATCAGAACTATTTATTAATAATCTTATAAAAAGCATGAAAGATAAATTAATAATTTATAGAGTCCGTATCCCATAATTACGAATAAGTCTACATTTATTTGTTCATTTATAATTTGGCATTATTATATTCTCAAAATATTATAATATATTTCGCTTATATTTAATTATTATATATTTATATTTTGTTTTAATATTATAACAAAACATTTCACACTTGGATCTCCTCTCATATTTTAATGATATCAAAATTTCAATCTAACATCTGTTTTTACAAAATAATCATCTCAAACGTCGAAACTCCGACAAAACAACGTACAGTATAGAAGAACCCTTTAGCGTATCGCCTAAAAAGCCGAAGGTCACCACAGAGTAAAGGACAATCATTTGGACGAGGACTGTGCGCACGTTCTAATCCTATTAAAATGTTATCTGAAATCTCGATTGGGGCGTGCGTGTGCGTATGTGTGTGCAGATAACCGCCTTTTTATTCGACCGATAAGCCCGAGACCCAAGGAGCTTTTGTCCGACGCGGTGTAAATCCGCGGCGCCGAAAAAAAGAGATCAGGATAACGCGCGCACGGATAATTGAACCTTCGGTAAATCTACTCTTTCACTTTTCCTCGCTCGTCCTCCTCTGATAAAGTCGTCTCATTTTAACACCCTCGGCGCACGCTAATCCCATACAGTGTACAAGTCTTTCGTTATTCAAATTTTTAATAGAATTTTATCGAACGGTTAGGCGAAAGATTGAAACAGCTGATTAAACATTCTCTCCAACGTTCAAAGAAAATACAATAAAGAATTTATTGGTGTGTGTGTATATATATATATATATATTTTTCTTTATTATAAGTTGATGTTATCTTTGAGATTTGAAATTACTAAATATTGCAGTGATAATTTGTTCTTAATAAAGAATGCGTAATCCTGATTAATTTCCTAGCATTAAAATTATGTATATAAAAATTCGAAAAAAAGTTTTTAAGAATAATTGTTAATTATTAATATATTATATATTTCGCATGATAAAAAATTTATTTAAAATTTAATCTATTTTACCAAAATACGCAGGGATTTCTTAGACAATTCTATTATGTTTGCTATTTTCAATTTGATAACATCAGTGCACATATAATTAATACTCCTTCCTATTCCCGTATATATGTATGTATCCCTATACGTTCGGTTTCTGGAATTCCCTAAGCTTCGGCGTAGTGACCGCGAAACAGACAGAATTCAGTCCCGAGATCTGACAGGCAGACACGGTGTTATCCGATCAACAGCAGCATACCGTACTCTAACTGGTCAGAATTTCTCGTTGATCGTCGAGATCGGATTGCAGTGTGCCATCAATGTAATATTAACTACCCTCCGGTGGTTTCGCGCAGTATCTCTCTCTCTCTCTCTCCAGCAACTGATCGTGTTCAAGTATCGGTCCTTGATCGGATCCTCGAGGAGATTCTCTTAGCTTTCACTTAGATAATGGCAAACTGCAGCTTCTCTTACCGACGAATTATATATGATGAAATGGTTGTTTTTAAGAAAAACAACGATATTTCAGAGAAAATCGGAGCAATAAAGCGAAATAAATTTAGCGAAAATAATATGCAATTTTATTGATCGCATTGCATCCAACTATCATCCTACTATTATTATTTTTATTTTTGAAATATACAAAATTCTACGCTCACATATTATACGTTATGTGTATTATAGATGTATACGAAGAATTTTAGAAATTTTTTTAGTAAAAAATATTTTAATAAAAAATTTTATATTTTTTGTGATAATTATAAATTTTTAATCTGCTGAAAATATATCATATACATATATATACACATTTATGTGTATAAAATATTAAATATTTAAAAAATTTTACTAAATATTTGTAATTTATATCTCAAAACAATATACATTTTTTATACATGTATACATATAAATACTGATGTGAAAAATAATACACTAATGCGGAGATAAACAAGTAATGATGTTCCTACAAGTAACAAATAAAAAATAAAGCAATCACCTTGTAGTTGCTTTGTCATCGCCCGATGCCTTCCTAGCCTTTTTCTTTTCTACTGCATGCTTATATGCATGGAATCTCACATATAATCACTCGCGAAAACATGTTTATGTTCACGCGTGGACTAATTATTATAATCGCACTTTACACGGCACTCTGATTTTAATCCGTGATGTTATTACGAAACGCGCGTTTTGCTACATCATGGCAAGAGAATAACGCGAATATTATACGGTCAATGAAGCTGCGATCCGCATTCGCGATGCCTCGTAAATTAGCGCGATGACGAATATCGAACGGTGGAATGACGTCGAAAAATTGCGCGGCACGTCAAAGTTGCCGCGTCGCGGCGATGCTGCACCTGTTGCTCCTTAAACCACACTTTCGTATACTTTCTGCATTTTGAATAAGAACTGGCACATTCGCTTATTTTAAAATACGACGATTCTACCGTTGTACAATGATATAAATAAATAAATTGATTAAAGATACATTCCGCGGAGTGAAATACTGGAAAATATGATCGCCCTTTTCGTAACTGATTGTTTGCGCAATAAATTCATCGAAATAAGTTTCGCGAAATGGGAGGAGAGGTGCGTATCTTAATATATTAAAGCATAATTTATGCTGTATGATTAAATATTAAGTCTCGCAATTATGAGCACATTTATCAATTAAATGGATACGTATTTTGCTTGTCAGTTCTACATCGATCTGTTTTCTATAGCGACATTCGATTAATAATCGGAAAGTTCGAAACTAGAAACTTCACTTCACCGTACGATTACACCATAAAATTGAGTTAATTAGGACGCGATAGACTATTCAAATATCAGTATTGCGTGCGTTTATAATGCATAAATCACGCGTACTAAAAATCGATGTGCTTTTTTCATTATTCGAATTAAATAGTTGTAACCGCGATACTCTTGAGTACTGTTCGCGAAATTATTAAAGTTATATGAACTGATCGCAAAATGTAATAATAGACACTGATCGAGTTTCGGAAAGTAATACTACGTGACACAGGAGCGTCTCGAGCCGATATCTTCCTATTTAAGCCGTGCGAATGACAACGTAAGGTGACTGCGCATAAACAAGAGCTCTAGACGCAGCAAAACGCCAAGACCGAATGTGATATAATATATTCTCTCTTCTCTCTTTTGCTTTCTCTTGCTTGTTGCAACGCGCAAATTATTTAACGCATATGTACTTTGATAATATAATTTATAAAAAATTCTGGTATTTATAATTTATGCGTGCCAACATGAACTTTTTTTGTAAAATTTGACAACTAATAATACCTATGCGTAAGTTAAACTACACATAAATATAGTACACTATAAATTTAAGATCATAGTTTGTGATGCTTTTTTACGTTTAAATACTTTAACAATTTTGTACAAATCATATAAAAATTTTGAAATATTAATATCATCATACGAATCAGAAACGAAAGAAAATACTGAAAATATTTGTAAATTCAAAGTCATGTGAGAAATTTTTAATATCAATGTGTGGAAGAGAGAGAGAGAGAGAGAGAGAGAGAAAAATTCTAAGAATAAACTTTTCTCAAGTTTATTCATCCGGTAAAATTTAATTATTGTTACATAATCGATATTGACTCTCGTTGACTGATAATTTCTTAATGGAAAAAGTAGAAATTGAATTTCACGCCGATTAAACGCCTAAAGTTTAACTGATTCTGATCGATCAAGGTTATAAACAAACGACCGACAAATGATCGAAGGATTAATTTATGACGAATCACTCGTCAAAATCTCCCGGTGCCAGCGAAAAAAAGCGCGGACTAAAAACAGCCAACAGATGCGAGATGGGTAGGAAATAGAGAAAACACTCGCGCATTGGATACACGAAGCCAGGCGTGATATGACATAGTGCGAGTCGAGGTCCGAGCTGCAAGAGCGACAAATGGCTCGCCATTTGCGAAATAACGCATCGGTAAATCCACCGTGCAAAACGAACGTCAAAACCGCTTCCTCCGTTCCTTCTATCCCGCAACCAAACGCACGGATTTTCTCCATGGAATCGCGACCGAAAAATCCCCGTCGAAAAACGCAGACGTCCTTCCGTGCCAAATAATTGAACACATTTTTCTAACGTGCATATACGATGCCTATAAAATTATACTTTTTATATTTTCACACAGACAAAACGAATGAGAGAGTTGCCGCAATTAATGTGATATTTTTCACATCAGACATTTACACTATATTTTTGCATCCTTATCGCGCATGTTGCATTTTATATTTTATTATATTCATATTTTACCATGAATATTAATTAAACATTATAGAGATACATATTTATACGTAAGAACTTTATCATGAAATCTGAAATTATATATTTTCGTAAAATAAAATTTTTTTATTGAAAATATTCTTCAAAAAATCAAAGAGCGTTCACTTAAATTGCTGTAAAAAATATTATTGTTTAAATGTTTGTATAATAGTCTTTGTTCATAAATGCACATAAATTATGCACGAGACACAGAGAAACTATAAGCGTGCTTAACTTGGAAGACATTCGAATGTAAGATGTTCGGAGAGTTAATCTCGATAACGGAAGTTTAATCATGTAGACACTCCTCGCTTCTGTACTCCAATCAGTTTATCCGGATAAACTCGCGCCATGAGTCAGATAAACACATTTATCTCTACACGGATCGTAAGATCCTAATACCTAAGAGAAAATATACGCAACAACTATGTACTAATCAATTAAACCATCTTTATAAATACATTAATTATTCAATAATTAAATATAACATCTTTGTATTTTTTTATATATAAATTAACAGCCTCAAAAGTCATCCTCAAACTAATAACTCACTTTAGCCTTTATAAAATGCAACTGTCGTATATACGCGAAATTATAAACGGCATTATTTCTAGCAACAGCTTCGTTTAGACAAGAGTTATTGTGTCGTGCCTGTAATAAGTCTAGCACAACTAGGTGTAATTCACGCCATTAAAAGGGTCGTAATTCCGCGCGCGCTGTCGGTATTATTTTTTTTAATATTATTAATTTCACTTGCTACCTGTAGGCGTGCATCGTAAAAGATTTCGATCGTAACTTGAAATCTTAACGGAAGGATAGGTTACGCTTCGTGCTCTCGTGAGTTTGTTTTTGCGTTACTGCAAAATTCCATCCGTTCTGAAAACCCCTTGGCGTTCCTCCCGGTGAGACCATCATGGAATCCGAATCAGCTCGCTATCTCGATGAAATGATACGGCAATACACGCGATTTCGCCATCGTCCACGCGAGTTTCGCGCAATTACGGAGCGCTCGCGAGAGCTCGAAAGCAACGGACGATTCTGTGGTTCTATGTGTATGTGTGTATGTGTGTATGGTCACAAATGGCTAATTTTCTCGTTAGCGACGACGACCGTGCCGGACACGATCTTCCACGGTGAATCCAGTTCGTGTTGCTGCTGGTCGTTTTAGAACTGCTTACACGACGCTTACGCGGGTAGAAAGTTTAGCTGACGTTGCCCGAGGGGCTCTTTGACGATTTTTATTTCCGCGAAGTGCGAAAGATACAATTCGAGGAAATTAATTTGCTTCCAAAAATTTATAGCAAGATCAAACTAGCGCAGGAATATTTTTATAGAAAAAAATTGATTTTAAATATACGTAGCTATATATGCATTATATTATAGGCGTGTACCTCGTAAAAATATTATTTAAATTTTTGTTTGTATTTTTTATAAATTATATTTTATTCAATCTATGTGTCTTTTATAATTCTACACAATAAGAGACTAATGCTAAATAATCGGAAAAAATTTATGAAAAATTCGTTATCATATCTTTCATCCTAAATAAGATTAAGTTTTATCATGATGACTGCCTCCTTAAGAATTTGTGGTCCTTCGTTTCGAAGAGAATGATCCCGTTGGGAAAGCGAACGATCGGAAATGACGCTACGTGCGAGCAACAATGTGAGCTTGCGACGAGAACTTTAGATGGAGCGACTAACAAACTTTGCGGTCAGTGTCGCCGGCTTTACCGCAAATTCACTTCGCGGACAACGAGCGTGGTTACGGCGCCCACACAGAGTCGATCGCATTTTATTTACCTTTCGATTTCGAAGTTTGAAATTTGTCTCGTCGTGTCCACAAATTTCTCTTAATTACATTGATGCTATTAATTATCAAACAGCAATTAGAAGAAATCGATAAATTAACTATATAGTTTTATTTTTATATTATAACTCCCTGAGATCGTTAATGAGTATTAATGGCCTAACGTTTTAAGGATTTTTATCGACATTACGATATAATATTTATAATAAAAATCGAATTTTTTAAATTCATTTAAACTCATTAATTAGAATAATATAAAATTGAATATCATTTATATACTCACGCGGAATCTCTCCGCGAAATTATATTAATTTTGCAAGGCACAAATCCAAATTGACGACTTTGATCAAGTCGCTCTATTCGTCTGCCATCGTTTTATTTGGCAGGCTACTACATCAAAGTTAAACGTCAAACTGGTTACCGCGATACGTCGTCGGTTAACCGGTCAAGAGATCGCGGAATCGATATATTCGGAAGGGGGTTGAATTTCTCAAGAGATTACTCGTCTCAAAAGAGCCACACTTTTACCTTGATCTTGATCACGGATCACTGCGGGCTTCAAAGGGAGCCGGCGAGCGCACGCGAGAGATTTCGAACGGAAGAGAGTCGATCAAACGGGTCGGCGAATTACAGCCGGCTCGATAGTCCGGTAAAGGGGTGAAGCTACCCCTTTGCCGAAGGCGACATCGAGACGTTCCCTGTGATCTCGCCCGACGGCAACGACTGATAAGTGGATAAAGAGGCTCGGGAAGAGAGATCGAGTGTCTTGAAAGCGCGTTTAGATTAAAGAGACAAGAATGACAGGAAAGAAAAGCGGAGAGAACTTCTTCGCGCGCATGTCTATCTACGATCGCGCCCCTGCGAAAACTCGTTAAAGCATTGACAGAAAGTTGCAAACACAAGCAACAAGTTCGCTCTCTCGCTGTTTGTCCGCTTAATACGTTCCGAAAATTTGCCTGTAAACGAGATTTGC